CATTTTTATTCTTATATTTGTCATGTTTCTCTTTTAGTGCATCAAATAAAGAAGTACCAACTCAATCAATGGCAAATAACGTACCACAATCATCATCGACTACTTTCAATGGCACAAGTAATGATTCAGGAAAACAAGAAAAACGAAAATATCGAGATGATTCATCGACTACATATTCAACTTCCACCACAAGTAAAAAAAAAACTAACACTTTTTGTATCGAAAAAATATCATAGCGATTTTATTTTGTAAATTTTAATTGTGTGATTTTTTGAATATGCTATGTTCTTATTTATATGTAGATGATGATTTTAAATAAATATTACTTATATAATACATTTATCATGACTCTTTAATTAGTTAAGTACATTCTTTAATTGTTTGAACATAGCTCATAATGGAGTCCCTTTATTCATTCCAATAACGATTCTAAAATGTATGCGTGAAGTGGAGTTTCCAGCGCAACAAAAATTTCAACATATTTGATAAGACGACAGAGCTTCAAATTATTTTTTCGAGATTTTATGAGAAAAATTTAATTCCTTTTGACGTTGAATTATACCTTTCGTGATATTAAGCTTGCTTCAGTGGTTTATTCTCGTTTCAAATAGCTTTTAGAAATATTGATCAGTACATACAAAATTTATCAAAAAAAAAGCATTTGAAACAGCGGAAGGAAAACAACTACTGTAGAGGCTATAGCATTAACAAAGAAGAACAGTAACTATTTCATTGACAGTTCCAAAAAAAACATTTCTTTCACCGTGTCTTATGAAGTTTTTTCCGACAAGAACCTTGTTTCAAACTGCTTCGTTCTCGGTTTCACGTGATGGCTTGATGTAGACCTGCTTTTTTTAGTATCCAATACAATTTCCATTATATTTTAAAAGAAATAATTATTGTTATCTTTACTTTTTAATTACTTTTATCGACATAATCATGGATTACTCTTGTTTCAGATATGAACAACGATATTTGTCATGAAATTAGTAAAATTAAATCAGATAATTTTTTTAATCTCATCGAAGAAATGACAAGTGAAATTGAAGTTGAGATTTTACAAGCTCAGGGAATCAATAATGTTCTCTCTTTACTGCGGTCACAAGATTTATTTCATATATTTCAAATTGACTGTGAAGAATTACAAGATTTAAGAAATCGTGCGTGTTTAAGGCTAAACAATGGTGAATATATGATACGTCCAGCTATAAAAGAAAATCTTGATTATTGTATCAATATACTGAAAAGAAAATTACATGAACAACAACCACATATATTAGATGGTCAGAAACAGAAGCAAGATTCTAATAAAGAACCTGATTTTTTCGTAAATACATTCATTAACAACATTTCTGAAAATATGAATCGTTCTAAATATCGCTATCAATACAGTGCACCAACGCGACGATTTGCATCATCAGTATATACATTAGGTGGTCGTAATGTTTATCAGCTTTTACGATTAAATCTACCTGGTGCATTTCCGTCTATACCAACATTAGAATCTTATAATAAGGAATATTGTACACGAATTGAAGAAGGAGATTTTCGTTTTGATGAATTAAGTTCTTATTTAAACAAGATTAATTGTTCTTATGCATATATTTCGGAAGATTGTACTGGTGTCATTGGCAAAATACAATATGATGTTGCAAGTAATTCATTTATAGGTTTTTGTCCAGAATTAAATAATGGTGTACCTATGCTTCGTCAGTATCAAACTGATGACTTTCTTCAACTAGAAGAATGGTATGACACATTAAAAAAATCATCATTAGTAAACATTCATACAGTTCAACCTATAACAACTAAAGGATCTCCACCATTCTTGTTATCTAGCTTTGGTACTGATAATAAAATTGATGCAATTTCAATACTTTTTCGTTGGTTATATATATATGAAAAATGCAAAACAAATAAAATAATAATCGTTGGATTTTCTACAGATGCTGATCCGAAGTATTTAAGAGCAATGAGATTAGCAACAGGTTAGCTTAATCGTAAAAATTTGATTTGACTTTCTTTAACAATTTTTGATTATTAAGGCTATTTTGCACAACTACCAAATATTGATTTATTGAATAAAGATAATATTTTCGAGATTCAAATTCCAAACTCATGGTCATGGTTTTTTTTACGTAAAAAGCAATTATTTTTATGAATGCAAGACCCTATTCATGTTGCAACTAAATTGAGAAACCGATTACTATCAACAACTGCTTCATTAATTATGGGTGATTATCCAGTATCAGTGAAAGATCTTCAAACTCTTATAGATAAATATTCAAAATTAGATCATAATTTAGTTTTGTCAGATATATACGTCAAAGATAGACAGAATTATGCATCGTGCTTGAAAATTTCATCAACAAATGTTTTAGATATACTAGATCAAAATAAAACTACATTTGTAACTCATTGTTATGTAACAATATTACGTTTTGTAACTCTTGCTTATATTGATAAAACAACAGATATATTGAAGAGATTATTTTTTGCATGGTCAAATGTCTTTATTTGTCGACTTTGGTTTACATGGATAAGACATAAACTAATAATTGATACAGAAAAAAAAGCCAACACAGCCAAATACCGCCTTACAAAAAAATTGAGCACCATTTTATGACGTTTCCAGCTTTTCATTCCATTGAATTGAATGCTCATATGTTAACTTATATTGTACTATTAGTGCTCAATAACAAATTACCGATTGAATCATTGAACATATTCCTATTCAGTTCACAACCGTGCGAAAATATATTTCGCAGCGCTAGATCGTTAACAGGTCCTTTCTCAAGTATGACCAATTTTACGGTTCAAGAATTTCTTTCCAAAACTAGAAAAATTTCAATATTAAATGAAATTAAGTCCTTTGAAGAATCCAATTTTGATTCTAATGCAATTAAATTTCCGATACATCATAAGCAAAGTCGAAGTAAATTATTTCCATCAATGTCAACAAATTTGCATGTATTACGATGGATAGTATCGAAAAAAGTATTTATGATGGTTACAAATATGCAAAATCTTTTGCTGAAAAATTAGGAACGTCTTCGATTTTAATAAAGAAGAAAGTTTTTGAATTAAACGATTTATGTTCCAATATACGTAAAGATTTGGAAAAGATGATTTATATTAATGATGATTCTGTGTTAGATAATGATGATAATTGTGATTCAGACGAAGAAGCAGATTGTTATTCATTAGCAACTGATGCAGAAGATGAAAGTGAATCTGATGATTCAGGGACAGAAAATGAATTTAAAACATCGACAAAGGATGGTTTTAATAGTATGAGAATTTTTTCTACCATATCTGATAAAGAGAAGTATAAATTCTTTGAAGTTGAAATTAATGGCAAAGTAAAGTACATGCATAAACAAACAGCTGTGTGGTATTTAACAAACAAAAATATTAAATTATCTTCAGACAGATTAGTTCGTGTTCAAAAAATGAACAAACAATAAAGTAAATTGAGATTTTTTACGTTCATGTTTGAACCAAAAACATTTGCTAACTTTTTTCTTCACTATTAGTGCGTATAATTAGATTAACAATCATGATTTCATGTTTTTTAATAAAAACGTTTTTTGTCTTTTTGAATTAATTAATTGTGTTTTTTCCTCCTGAATACTCTGTGAAATTTTGAATTTTCAAGACCAGAGAGTGTAGGATATTTTCTGAACATACTAAATCGCTTTCTTAGTTCATTCAGATTTGGCTTTAACCTAATTATTCTCGTTCAAGAGCATTGTTGGTGTAAGAAAAGCCTAATCGATTTACTACGAAGTGATTGTACTTACTATTGCATTTCTGAAATAAAGATTACTGATTGAAACTCATCGTGAACGATAAAATCAGTATATACATCTCTTGAAACGATCTAAAACTTCTTATTCTTATAATCATTTTAAACAAAATTGGACAATCTGAGGGAATTGAATATTTTCGACATTAGCTGCTAACAATCAATATCTTTTATTTCGTCATTGCAATATTTTTCTATTGCAAAAACTAATAGTTTTCTCCCTTACACTATAATTGATCTGATATCAAAAGCATTATATTCCCTTTTATCGACTACTAAATTGTATATGTATAACTTTTTAGTCTTGAACATCACTTGAATATTTTAGAAAAACAATTATCCACCGTGAACAAATGAATGTGATGTAAAATAATTCGGAATCATGGATATCAAAGACAACCTAGATTGTTTGAGAAGAAGACTTCCAATGACTTAACATACCAATTCATGGATTCTTACTCAAATTAGGCTAATATCAGAAGCGTTTGCAATTGTTTTACAAATTTGTCAGCAAAAAGATACAAGAAATTGCTCAAGAAAAACAAAATCATTTTTGAGATCTCTGGTTCAAACTTCTGCCCTTTTAGAATGCAACTAACCTACATTTATAATTGAATTTTCCCCATCACATCGACGTTTCATGCACTTAAAATATGAATATAGCGTGGTTTGCAATCAATGAAAGCCTATTGATTTTCGCTGTTTGATATCGTTACTTGTGAATACGCAGTAGCGAAGTTCAACATTATGTAAATTGACTTCGATGAAAAATTGGA